TCTTAACATGTGGTATTTTGACTAATGGTCTATCAAAGTGATCAAGTCTTCAATACTTAGTGTTAAGAATCTACTTCCATTGGTCTATACAAAAAAAAATGCCAACAATAATAACTTGTTAGCTTTAAATGTGTTTTATGAATCTATTTCAATCGTTCATCATCAATTTCTTCGTCTGTTGAAACCTTTAAGATTTTTCCTAAACACCGTGTTGTTTTTACAAAGGAACGTAATATAAAAATAAGGATATGTGGTATGATTGCCAATTAGACAACTATCAACCAAATTTCAAATGAAGTGGATGTAAGCGATTATAGGCAACCGTACGGCCTTCAACAATGAGAAAAACCCATACCGTATGGTCGGCTATAAAAGGCCCCGACATGAAAAATATGAAACAATTCAATTGAGAAAACTAACGGCCTAATTTATAACAAAACAATTTACGAAAAACAAATATGACAGACATGAACCATCGATAACCACTGAACTACAGGCCCCTGACTTGGGACATGCGCATACAGAATGTGGCAGGGTTAAACATGTTTGTGAGCGCTCAACCCTCCCCCTAACATGGGACAGTGGTGTAACAGTACAACATCAGAAAATCAGTTGAAAAGGCTTAACTCATCAGATGGATACAAATAGAAATACATCTAAGAAAAACACAGAGTGGACGTGAACGGGTACTTATATATCCAAAAAACAAAAATACACTAAGTACAGATCTGATAGTAACACCACTACTAACCGTGTATTGAAATAAACCACGCCTAATTACCCCATATGAAATGTACACTATCTCCACGCGGTTGCTTTTAACCAATCATATTCCTAGAAATGTATAGGAAGTAAGATAACTCCGATACACATACCTCAGTCATAATATTCTCCTATATACATACCTCAGTCAAAATATTCTCCGATATACATACCTCAGTCATAATATTCTCCGATATACATACCCCAGTCATGATTATCTCCGATATACATACCCAAGTCAAAGTATTCTCCGATATACATACCTCAGTCATAATAATCTCCGATGTCTATACCTCAGTAATAATCATCTCCGATTTACATACCTCAGTCATAATATTCTCTGATGCACATACCTCAGTCATAATATACTCCGATAAACATACCTCAGTCATAATATTCTCCGATGTACATACCTCAGTCATATTAATCTCCGAAATACATACCTCAGTCATAATATACTCCGATATACATACCTCAGTCATAATATTCTCCGATGTACATACCTCAGTCATAATAAACTCAGATAAACATACCTCAGTCATAATATTCTTCGATGTACATACCTCAGTCATAATAATCTCCGCTGTACATACCTTAGTCATAATATACTCCGATGTACATACCTCAGTCATAATTTCCGTTGTACATACCTCAGTCATTATAATCTCCGATGTTCATACTTCAGTCATACTATACTCCGATATACATACCTCAGTCATAATATTCTCCGATGTACATACCCCAGTCATAATATTATTAGTTACATAGTGTGCTAGTGACCTAATACGGTATATACGGGGTCAGTAAATTCCATATGGGGTGAGAACGAAGCCCATATGAAATTTACTGACCCCGTATATATCGTATTAGGTCACTAGCATACTATGTAACGAATTCATCTTACCGACTATCTTTATTTGTTGAATTTAGACTAGAATTGTCGCATTTGCAATCATACCACATCTTTTTATTTTTATATTAAAGTGTTCAAGTCTTCAATTTTAAGAACCTACTTCCGTTGGTCTACACAAAAAAACTAATGTCAACAATAACAATTTAATATCAACAACCTTGATATAACAATATTAAACAGAACATTCAATACATTTACGTAGATCGACTTAAAAATGACCCAAAGTCTCATTCAGCCGCACACAATCAATTTTTAAAAGTCATAATCTTGTTCTTTCTCCTGAAGATATTCCCGGAGTATATTTGCACACTTTCTGTTTACTTTCAAGGTATTATCGGCATTCGCAATTAATCTTTTGGCATCAATTTCTTGATCTGTTGTCCATGCAAATCGTTTCGTACTTCTCGTCGACGTATTGACAGGGACGTAACGCCACTACTAGCCGTGTACTGAAATAAGCCCCACCTCCCTACTAACCTAATATGGAATATACACGGTCTCCACGCGGACACTTTTAACAAATCATATTCCTAGAATGTATAGGAGGTAAGATAATCTCTGGTATGTATACATACCTCAGTCATAATAATATCCGATCTAAATACCTCAGTCATTATATTCTCCGATATACATCCCTCAGTAATAATGTTCTCCGATATATATATACCTCAATCATAATATACTCCGATGTACATACCTCAGTCATAATATACTCCGATATACGTCATATACATACCTCAATCATAATATTCTCCGATATTTATACCTCAGTAATAATATACTCCGATATACATACCTCAGTCATAATGTTCTTTGATATATATACCTCAGTCATAATGTTCTCCGATATACATACCTCAGTAATAATGTTCTTCGATATACATACCTCAGAAATAATGTTCTCCGATACAGCTCAATTTAGGTCTTAAATTTACTTAACTCAATAATTTTACCCGACATGTTTAGCTCAGTGAAAGTCACTAATATAGAGAACTCTGTGACAGTATCACTGCTATACAGCGCTCAGTATATGTACAGAGTCTCAATTGCGATAGCTCATTTTTAACACATGCCATGGGCAAAATCTCTATGTTCTTTAATACTGTGCAATAATATGGATAATACACAGCAACTGTGTGCATTGACTACATCAGATATACTGCACAGTTCAAATGTACTCTTACCTTTAGGGGCGGATTAAGGATTTGTCAAATGGGGCGTAATTTCTATTCAAATATTTGACGATATTATGCTGAAGAAATACAGTTTCCCATCAAAGAAGTTATTCCCTGAATCCGCCACTGGCCTTGCAATTACGACATAGTTGATTAATCAACAACTAAAGTACAAACTTCGTCGTTTCAAAGTATGGAAAAGAAAATGTTTCTCATTCGTTACACTGGGAACATTTTATGACAAAACTTGTGTACAATGTAAATCTTAAATCAGTGTTAAACTAAATATTCTTTTTTATTTCTGCAAAAAAAATAAGTTTATTTTAGAATACCCAAATAACCGAAATCGGATTTGGATTAGTTTTGTGTTCAATTGAATTTATTACAACTTTTCAAATATTTATTCCTTTTTAATGTCTATTTGGGATCAATTTAATGAGGTTCTTTTCATATTTAAGTATGTACCAAAACTAGAAAAAAAAAGTTGCAGATCAACCACTCTTAGTTAAAATGCGACATATCTTCAAAATTAATCGCCGAAAACAGTTTAAAAATTAGGGGAGTGGGTTGGGGGGGGGGGGGGGGGTTGTGTCCTTGAGGGGGAAAATGTGAATTAATTGAAAAGAAACAATCAAAGACCTGCAATTAAGGTAGATGGGGTGTCTAAATTATAATCCATAGATTTTTTTAATAGTTTGCCAAAATGTAGTTTATATCATGCTTTTTAAAAAAAAATAATAAAAAGAATGGGTCACGGGGCTTATTTTCACGCTACACGGTGTTCAAAATTGACAGATTTTGTATAGATTATGCATGGAAAACCCAATTTTCTGCAATAAAGCGAAAACTACACCATAGAATTTTGAGATAACATATGAGAAGATAGCTTTAATAGTATGCTTTCAGTTAAGAAAAAGAAAAAATGGGGTCACCGGACCCGTTTATTTGCTACATAGTAAAATAGGTAAATTCCTAACACATTCTATTGTAAAAATACCCTTATCTGAATTATCTGCCCTTGCATTTGAGTTGCCTCCCCTTATGTGGCAAAGTTGGAAAAAATTTAATCAAACAAAAGTTTTCTGTTTTTTGTAAAATACAACCATAAATATGATAAAACATGTCATTTTCTATATTGAAGTGAAAGTTCTTACACATGAATTTCCTACTACTCTCAAAATTTGCACATTCTAGTAAAGATCTAGACCTTGTTTTCTGGTATTTCCAAATCCAAGATGGAGGAAGACACCCTATCTACCTTAAATCGCAATTCTCTAGATATAATGTAAAAATTTAGGAGAAAGCCTGAATATCACAAATGTTAACAATTTAAAAGTTACCTACCTTTCTCAACATAAAAGCCTATTTTCCCCTTTTTTTACTCTACAAGAGAACTTCCCATGAGCCGTTGATTGAATATCGTCCGCATATATCCAAAAAGTTCATGTAAATTGATGTATTTAAACAGTTATTGGACAAACAAATCGGTATGTGTCATTTAATCTGCACGGTCGTGATGACCCTTTAACCCGAACTCCTACGTCGTTCGGGTTCAGTAGGGTCCCCCGAGCCGTGCAGATATAATAATATATACCGATTTGCTTATTCAATAACTATAACATATTCTCCGATATGTTTAACACCACCACTTTGTGTTTTATTCTATTAACCATCATATAAACTAAATGTTTAGTAGAATATGCCTGAATCCGGTTTTATAATGAAAACTGAATACAGGCAACGAACCCAGAAATAACTCGTCCCTCAACAACTATATGTGTTTCATCCTGTTACGATCATTTGTTTGTGCCTCCCTTGTTATTATTTATTGTTTTGATATGCTGTTAGATCTCAAGCCTGTTCATATATTTACTCGCACTTGACTTTAGGGCTCTCCTAAGCTCTCCAAATGAGATTCGTTTATGAATAAAAGATTGCGGTAAACGTTCTTGAAGCGGCAACCCAACAAAACTATGACCATTGTTTTGTTTTGTTTTTGTTTTGTTTTGTTTTGTTTTGTTTTGTTTTGTTTTGTTTTGTTTTGTTTTGTTATGTTTTGTTTTGTTTTGTTTTGTTTTGTTTTGTTTTGTTTTGTTTTGAAGATATCAGTTCAGAAGATGTTTTGCAGAAAATAAAATACATGGACTTACCTCTGAAAGTAAATTTAATTTTGTTAGGAGGCATTACTTCTATAATCTTCAACTTGTTCGGTCGCTTTGGACATTCGACAGAGCCAAACGAAGAAGCATTAAATATATCAACGAATTCATTGCTTTGGTTAGTTTTACGTGACTTGTCAACACAACTTAGATAGCTTCCCGGTCTGTTGCTAATATTATATGATAAGACACTATTGGTAAATCCTATCCATAATGCAAGTAAGTAGAACATTGTAAATAAGTTTATTACCAGACAGTAAGTGTAGCAACACAATAAAGTCAATACTCAGTATTGTTTTAACTGTTGTTATTTAAAGCACTTTTTAATTATCAGATAGTGACGGTAAAACTTGTTGAATCTTCAGAATATAAAACATCCAAAGAATCGTAGTGATTAAATGCAATTCGAACGAACTATTGTCTGTTTATCATCGCTTCCGATTACAGATATAAAGATTTTTATGATTTGCGAAACCATCAGGAGCAGTACTACAAATAAAACCATAACAGACAAATTTAGATTGGTGTTCATCTCTCAAGGGTATTTAACGCAGTAACGGAAATATCGATCCCGTCTCAATTTCATAAAATATTATCAATTTATATATCTTATGATGTTATTTGGAATAATCAAGAACATAATAAAATGTCCCCTGCGTTCCTCTATATGTGATTGAGATAGTTTGGTAAATGAACTAACTGCAGAATATTCATCTAATTCATAACATTACACAACACATTTGCAACAAGTTGTTTCAATGAGGCATTTAAAACTCTTACTGAGTTGATTTTATATCCGTGAAATAAGATTTTTTTTATTAATTCAAAAATTCGTAACTTAGTTGAATCACGGAAGTATTATATTGATAATATGTGTTGAATTTAACGTAAAACGTTTTTAAAACTATTTAACATACAGTTATTTTACTTCTTTCGAAGAGGGAAAAAAATGGTCCGGAAGGTGTTTTTGTACAACCAATAGGGATTCCGCAGTACTTAGTAAAATAAAAACTGCTATAAAAGGTTATTGAGCTTTACTGATATCCACATGGATATGTGCTGGACATAACGGTGCATCCACTAACGTCAAATATGTATTCAAAACATTTTGTTTTAAGTGCATATTAACGGTACTTTGGAAAGCTAGCCGTAAAGTCGAACCAATTCAATTCAGAATGTGAAAAGTAATCTGCTGATGTACTTACTATAGCAAATGTTTTTATAACTTCATATATTTCAGCCAGATTATTACAGAAACACAAAATCAAATTTTCACCTTAATATCTCAATTAGTTACAAAAAAAAGATACGGACATTTGAAATTTTATAGTCCAATAGAGTATAATTTACTTTGTTTATGGGTAGATACAAACCATTCATTTATCTGTACCATGTCAACTACAAAGGCTTTTTCAAATTTGTGTAAAACTTTTCAAAATTACATGAAGTGTTCGAAAATTTTAGCAGATGTTAATGCTTGGGATAGTGGAAATAATTTTGATGCAAGAAGTCTTATACGAAGAATCAATGTTGGTGCATATCTAATTTCGCCATACACTATTGTAATGTATAATTGTTTACTTTTTACACATTGTTACTTGGATGGATAGTTGTCTCATTGGCACTCATACCACACCTTCTTATTTATACGTCTATTTCGACATGTTTATGTCATCACAAGTGGCATTCTGCACTAAAGTGTCCAGATTTAATCCTTTTCATGTATTGTCTAAATTGACAGACCTTATTTAGAAAGGATTAAGAATTTTTTTCAGGGCCAAAATAATAGGTCTTTACATATTCTCTTACCCAATTATCGAATAAAAAACAACCTAGATAAGCATTTAGAGCAAGATGGGTAGAGACCCGGCTGTTTTCTTTCGCGCTACTACAGTTAACAAAGTAGAAAATAAAATGTTGGAGGTAAATGTTTTATCTCAAAACATAAATTACCAGTATATTTAATATTGCACCATTAATCTGAACAAATATGCCGACAGCTATACATTCTATAAAACAATGATTTTTGTCAAACTGTATAGAGAAATCAGAAAACATAGGAAATGGCTTATGCATTGTTTTATGTAATTATCTTAACTCTATTGATTTTGAAGCAATTAGTAGGATAGAGTATGAAAACAACGAGGATAATTACGTTTGAAATATTGGCAATTTCAAAGAAGTTTCAGGCAAATGACAAGAAGCTGTTCCTAATTTAAAAGTTTTGTTTCCTTCTTTGTTCATTACCAAGTTGAATGATAGAATAGAGAATGGAAATGGAGAATTTGTCAAAAGACAACACACCGACCAAAGAGCAAAGAGTAGAAAACAGCTGAAGACAATCAATTGGTTTTCAACGCAGCGAGAAAATCCTGCACCAGGAGGCGGGCTACAGCTGTCCCCTTAACAATAAAGTCACAACTAGTTCATCGAAATGGACGTCTGATTAAATGAACAATTTTATATAAGATATTCCCACCAGCTTTGGTAGATTAGATGATGATGTAAGATATTCCCACCTACTTTGGTAGATTAGATGTTATGTAAGATATTCCCACCAACTTTGGTAGATTAGATGGTGATGGTTTATGTAAGATATTCCCACCAACTTTGGTAGATTAGATGATGATGGTGATGGACTGATACTTTTTATGTAAGATATTCCCACTAACTTTGGTAGATTAGATGATGATGGTGATGGACTGATACTTTTTATGTAAGATATTCCCACTAACTTTGGTAGATTAGATGATGATGGTGATGGACTGATACTTTTTATGTAAGATATTCCCACCAACTTTGGTAGATTAGATGATGATGGTGATGGACTGATACTTTTTATGTAAGATATTCCCACCAACTTTGGTAGATTAGATGATGATGGTGATGGACTGATACTTTTTATGTAAGATATTCCCACCAACTTTGGTAGATTAGATGATGATGGTGATGGACTGATACTTTTTATGTAAGATATTCCCACTAACTTTGGTAGATTAGATGATGATGGTGATGGACTGATACTTTTTATGTAAGATATTCCCACCAACTTTGGTAGATTAGACGATGATGGTGATGGACTGATACTTTTTATGTAAGATATTCCCACCAACTTTGGTAGATTAGATGATGATGGTGATGGACTGATACTTTTTATGTAAGATATTCCCACCAACTTTGGTAGATTAGATGATGATGGTGATGGACTGATACTTTTTATGTAAGATATTCCCACCAACTTTGGTAGATTAGATGATGATGGTGATGGACTGATACTTTTTATGTAAGATATTCCCACCAACTTTGGTAGATTAGATGGTGATGGTGATGGTGATGGTGATGGTGATGGTGATGGTGATGGTGATGATGATGGTGATGGTGATGGATTGATGTTTAATGTCAAGTTACATTCATATCAGGACGAGAACATGATAAAGAGAAATTATTATAATACGAATTTTCAACGTCCAAATAGTGTATAAGATACTAGTCCGCAGGAAGACATTAACTCTACTCGGACACATTATTCGGACTTCAAGCCGATCAAGCAACTTACTATAAACGTTGATATTTAAATGTTTTGTTAAAATAAAACTAAATAACAAATAAAAAAGCAAAAATGCATGTTTTTAAGTTTGTTGAAAAAAAGGTGTGAGGTAGAAGATACCAAAAATCTCCTTTTGTCCATGATATTCTCTATTTTCTTCAACTTATGGGCAAAAATGAAAATCAACAAAAAGTCAAACAACATTCTACATAGGACTTCACAGGATACAAAGACTGAGCAACACGAACACCACCAAAACCTGGGAGATGATATCAGGTAATCAGAGCCTGCTCCACAAGTGGATCCCGTCGTGGTGCTCATGACAAGTACAAAAATGGCGATAAGTTGCATTCGATGATGTCAAAATCGAGGAAAAGAAGACGATAGTATGGCTACGAAAATTTCAACATATCAGTGGTAATTTGTGACACAGACATTCCATAAATCATGATGGCGTTCGTTTTATTTTAATAGGAATTACTTTAACTTTAAAATATGATCTTTGACCTAGGGCCCTCGAAATCAAAAAGTGTTTTATCAAGGTGTTGTCTTCTTGTGTGACATTACAAAATCGATAAGAAATGGACATATGGTAAAAAAATAACATTTGGTAATCAAAAGTTAGTCTATTAACCTTGAACTATCGATCCAAAAATAAATAGGGGTTTTCCTCGCTTAATGTGGCTTTATCAAACCAAGCTTAGTAAACATTGGACATATAGTTTAAAAGATAACACCGGGAAACCATAATGTTTGACAGGTGTACCATATTTCCTTTCATTTATGTCCGACTGATATCGTTATTATGGTCACAAAAATCGTTTGTGAAGGTTATTACCAGCTTAAAATTTTATTATCACAACAAATTGCAATGAAAAAATTAATGACAAACAATTATCTCATTTTGGAATGGTTTTGAATCAGATTTATCGTACGAAGTTATCATTCCCCTCTAAATATAACGAATTATCGTACGAAGTGATCATTTCCCTCTAAATATAACGATTTATCGTACGAAGTTATCATTTCCCTCTAAATATAACGATTTATCGTACGAAGTTATTATTTCCCTCTAAATATAACAAACGAGAAGAACAGAGGGCTATAGAAGTTTTGTGTAATAAAAATAAGTTAAAAACTGCTAAACTAAAGAATTATCATTTACAGGAAAACATATTAACAATATCGAATCAAATGCAGCAACGATTAACACTTTTGAATTAATGCGACAAAGTCGAATTCATACCTTATCAAGAGTTGGACATAAAAACGCTATTCGAATAAATCGAGAAGATTGCATATATATGTAGACACACATCTTTTAAATGCTTTTCTGGCATGTGCTTTAGTAACTATTTCACAAATACTTCTGGTAACAATAACTTGACATGCTTTTACAAATCTAATTGACCCGGAGACTATTTTCCGAAGAGGATATTTTAAAAAAGGTATCGGATCACACGGGCAAAACCACATTGCAGATCGAAATTCACTTTTGCCCGAGAAAAGCATGCGGCAGCTGCACTTTTATTATCTTATTATCGTCCAACTGTACTCCAATTCAAATACCGCGGTAGATCATCAAATTAGGATCTAAATTATAAACAAAATCATGCTGTTAACAAAGTTATAACTTTCGACCATCCTCCCAATACTGTGAAGTTGCTGGATGCAATTATAAAGTTAAATTCCACCCGTAACAAAGTGATAATCATTTAAAGAGATTTTCCCCGATTTTGATCAGAATATAAAGACATCTAAAGCAAAGTGTAAAAATATCATACGTAAGATATACTATGCAATAAAAGAAAGGAATATCATTTTTGCTATGATACTCAAGCAGTAAAACAAATAATGAAAATATAAATTGCCCAATACAATTAAAGCATTACCCATAGTTTAGTTAAGCCGAACGTGACTGTGTATTCATGCATAATAATACATGTATATACAAAGTAATTTTGTTTTGTGGGCATCTAATTTTAAATCCTATTTTTGTGAATAATGGAAAATATCACACAAAAGAGTAAAACATTTTAAGTAATCCTTTTAAGTTTGTCATATAATTTAATTAAACAACAGTTCCTTAACAGTTAAATGCTCCGTAGAACTGATAAAATGAAAATCATAGCATTCCGTCGTAAACTTAGAGGCCAAAAAGTTTCTATTAGTGACGAACTTACTAAACTGAACTTTGAACTTTTAAAAAGTCTCCAGGAACATGAGCTTATAGATCAAGCTTGGTCTTTCAATGGTAAAATTTTTGCTAAACACAAAAACAATGATATAAAGAGAATAATTGACATTGCTGATGTTAATAGGGTCTTTATTAGCTGATTTATTTACTAAATTCACATATAAAAACACTGTTTCTCGTGAGTTGAAGCATTTTCTTTAGAATATATATATATATATATATATAATTTTATTTATGTTGCTTCATGAAACCTATTCTTTTTATATTTATATATATATATATTCTTAATGGTAAATATTTTATTAATTTCATGAGCAACAGATTCCTATGGTTTGTTTCAGTTTTTGGATATATATTGCTTTTTTGCATTCATCAATAGTAAAAGTTTGCAGCAATAAATCTCTTGATCTTTAAATAATCATTATTATTTGAATTTTTTTCTTAATGAACCTCTTTTTCAGTCTTGATAACATCCCAAATTATTCTAGGCATACAAAATTCGTTGCCAATTTTATAATGATTAATTGTTTATTGTGTGCATTGGATATCTGTTTGCCTGTGTTCATTTTTTTTTTTTCTATGTGTACCCTGCTTGTATTTTTTTGTCTACTTGCTTTATACTGTTTGTTTACATATATGTTTTGTTCATATGTAGTGATCCATAACCCCGCAACATTCCTCCTGCTAACCTATGATCGGGGTTGATCAGTATAGATCGTGTATCGGACGATTTCATAATACTATTGTATCGAAGCAATTACGACTAAACAGTTATCACTTTTTGAGTAACATCTTGTCACACTCCCGTTACATGTACGTCTTTTGTTCATTTATTACCGTTCTCTCCTTTTCTGTTTCATTACACACGCTAGCAATGGTGATGTTTTTATTACTAGTCACATCGGGAACTATTCATCCTAATCCGGGTCCGTCCGGGAAACTATCTGTATGTCACTTAAATGCACGTAGTTTATATTCTTTTGATAGCGTATTAAAGTCTAACCAAACTAAGCTAGACGAAATTGAGTTCGTCCTGTGTAACGAATTCCCATATGATGTGATCTGTATTAGTGAAACTTGGTTAAAACCAGATATTTCATTTGAAGATATTAAGATTGATAGTTATAATATCCATAGGCGAGATAGGGCTGACGGGTCGGGTTACGGTGGTGTAGCCATATATGTTTCCGACCGATTATATTCTATGCGCGAAGTCAAAACCAAGGATAAGTCTATCCTTGTTAGTGTTTGTTACAGACCGCCGACCGTAACGGCCAATGAACGTCGAAAATTCATTGATAACTTTACTGCAGTCGTCGAAAATATGAATCACACAGCCCAGATGTTTGCTTGATTTTAGGGGACTTCAACGACCGATGTGTTTCATGGTTTGATAGTCATAGTCACAGCGAGCTCGGTCTTTCTCTTTTTAATCTGGCATATAGGTATGGTCTATCACAATTAATTAACGAACCGACCAGGTATACGGATAGTAGTGCGACACTGTTAGACCTTATATTTCTGACAATGAACGTTGTGTATCGAACTTCGGAGTTAGTCCCCGATTTTAAAAGCCTGAATACTGCATTATATAACGCTCCCTTTGTTTCCCTATATGAAATTTTTGACGATGTAAACGACATTGCTAGTTATACGATCGACCTTATCACCTCCGCTTGTTCTGAATTTATACCGAATAAAACAGTGACTATTCGTCATAAGGATAAACCATGGATGAGTAACGAGGTTAGGCGAGCGATTCGTAAGCGTGGTCGTTGCTTCAAAAAATATCAACGGACCCGGAGAGATGAAGACAAGTTATATCACATAATTGCTAGGAGAGAGGTCAATCGCTTAAAAAGAGACGCTAAGCAAAGATATGATATTAATATCATTAGCTCATTTTCTAGAGAAAACCTTAATCCTAGGAAATATTGGTCCCTTAGTAAATCTGTTTTAGGTTACAATTCAGAAAGAGCTATCCCCCCTTTTAAAGATAACATGAATCTGATATCTGATGATCTTGAAAAGGCAGAACTCTTTAATTGTTATGTTTCTGCTCAGATGCACTTAGGTCAACATGAAAACGATTTACCCGCTCTACCGCCAATATCGTTTCTTACCGTCGAGCGTCTTCAGGACGTAGTGGTTGTTGAATCAGATGTTCTTAAATATTTACGCCAATCTAACCCACGTAAGTCATGTGGCCCGGTTGGTATATCAAACCATATTCTAAAGTACTGTGCTCAATCTCTGTATAAACCACTCACTAGACTGTTCAATTTCTCACTACGTTCTGGAGTATATCCATCTCTCTGGAAAGTATCAAATGTGTGCCCAGTGTACAAAAATAAAGGCGATAAAAATATCATGTCTAATTATCGACCAATTGCTCTACTATCATCTGTGTCCAAGATCCTTGAAAAAATCATCTACAAGGCTATCTATGAGTTCTGTGAATTTCATGATATACTTATCACTAACAGTTCAGGTTTTAAGAAAAACGATTCAACAGTGAATCAACTAATTACCATTACTCATGAAATTTACAAGTCATTAGATAACGGTAAAGATGTATGTACAATCTTTTTAGATGTGTCAAAGGCCTTTGATAATGTTTGGCACAAAGGCCTGATTAAAAATACTTAAACAATTTGGCATATGTGGTTCACTTTTGTCTCTCATAGAGAATTACCTTTCAGGTCGTACTCAAAGAGTCGTTATTAATGGTCAGACATCATCGAGTCAAAACACCAATGCTGGTGTACCCCAGGGCTCTATACTCGGTCCTCTGCTTTTTCTTATCTATGTTAAAGATATTAAAGATGGAATTATCAGCAATATTAAACTGTTCGCTGATGATACTTCCCTTGTCAAACAAATTGATAACATCTCTGATTGTTTTCAAACTCTGAACAGAGACCTCGATACGTTGAACACATGGTCCCATCAATGGTGTGTAACATTCGATGCACAAAAAACAGAGTATCTCATTATTTCTAAGAAGAAGAATATACCCCATTACCCTCCATTGATCTTAAATAATGTAAATATAAAGAGAGTTACACACCATAAACATTTAGGTCTTATTTTTAATGATAAACTTTCTTGGACCGATCATATTGCTGATATTTGTAAGAAATGTCATAGTAAACTAAACACTATCTTGAGGATGCGACATTTATTACCTAGACTATGCATTGAAAAGTTATATACAGCATTTGTTCGTTCATTGCTAGACTATGCAGATGTCATCTACGATAACTGCTCTAGCGCTGATTCTGCAAACATTGAACCTGTACAGAGACGTGCCTGCATTATATCTATTGGGGCAATCAGGGTCACAAAACATGTCACTTTATTAAAAGAGGTTGGCCTTGAGCTTCTTAAAACACGCCGTAAAGTTCATAGACTTACATACCTGTACAAAATTAAAAATCATCTTGTCCCAGATTATCTCCGTAATTTTCATCCATTATTCCATCATAACACTGAAAACTATAACTTTTAAAGACGACATGCCAACTTGATACCTATCAGGTCAAGAACAGTAGCATACTATAATTCTTTCCTTCTAGCTACGATTAGAGACTGGAATAGCTTGTCAGCTGAACTAATTTCAGCAACATCTTTGGCGAGTTTCAAAAGGTTGTTAAAGAAGAATCTCAATTTGTGTATATATATATAATAAAAAATATATTCACGAGGGCATGGTTATGAGAAAAAGATTCATACTAGATTACGCTTATGGCTTAGTGCCCTTAATGACCACTTGTACAAATAAAATCTTACATTAAATAGGTTTTGCGATTTCTGCCCAGGAAACCGTATTGAAAGCACTGAGCACTATTTAATTCATTGCGTCCGTTACACGAACTATCGGATTACTCTTCTACTTGGTATTAAGAATCTGATTGTCCTGATATGAATATAGCAATGTTGCGGGATCTATGTCCGAAATATCTTAGTAAAATTTTAATAGAAGGTAGTGACGATTTGTCTGATGATACTAATTTAGATCTGTTTGAGTGTGTGTTTCGATATATTAAATCTTCAAACAGATTTTCTCGATAGCTCAATAACTTATTCGTATACTATCTTTTTCCCTTTTTCCTTGTAATAAAACATATTAGATGTGAAACACATACATACACTTATATTATTTTATTTTTATCTATTATTCTTTTTTTCTTCTTTTGTTTTCATTTGACCTGATTGTACTCAAAATCGTCTTTCCATAATTATTATTCTATATTACTGAATCCAACATGTTTGTGAAGTCGTGTGTATGTGAGTAAGAATGAGCGAGTGATTGGATAGGTGTGTAGTCAAATTTCATTCGTATGTTTTGTCCTGTACATATTGTCTTGTCTTGTGTCAAACATGTTTGTAAACTAAAAAATCTTTGTTAGTTGTGAATCTGTATATATCTATGTTGAGGAGACCCACACGTAGCCTCTGGTTGTTGGCAATCTTCTTTAAATAAATAAAGAATTAAATTAAATTAAATTCCTTAACAGTATCTATGATTCGTTTCCTTACAACAAATGCAAACATCACTTTGAAAAAGATGTTCTGATGATGCAATCTATGAAAATATTCCAATGTTCTGACATATGCTGTAGAACTATTGAAGGATAGCTGGTTCTTTATAATTGCAGATTTATTGCTAGTTCCAAAGCCAAAGTGTCGCTCTAATGCATTTTTCATATATGTCAACGTCTTTTACGACATTAATTGACCGAAAGAAGAAGTTAAGGAATAAGCATTGACGTTTATGTCTTTGCTTCGTTCTAAATGTAGTTAATTAAACCTGTTTACTTTCAACTCGACACTGAGCATGTATAAATTGGTAGCATTTAGGGTACTCATTTACACAAATTGATGAAAGCTGTTGATTTCCAATTTCTGTATGTAAAGTATTGATAAAACTGTTGTTTTCTTGGTGCGTAGTTAAACTTTGCCCTGACTTTTCTGAATGAGAAGTGATTTTATGATTACAAAATATTCATAGATACATACCTTTCTCAATTATATAAAGGAGATATAATGGGTAAACGTTCTTTCGTTAAAAAGATACAATGAGTCCGCTTAATTATTGTGTCTATTATTCAAACTTTTGATATGACGTCTCTTAAACTTACAGTTCTTTTATCAGTGAGCTCAAACAACAACCAAATTATCTTAAATGATGCATTAGAAACATGTAAACACATATTTGATTTAACCAGGAAAGTATATTTAAGCCAAATTGTACGCCACATGCGGAGTGTTGGCTATGTATGACACAGGGTTGCGGCTTCGAAGCGAAGAAAATACTATCAAGGTATAATTGTTAATCCCAAATAATGTAATGCACGAAAGGTACTGACCCATAATCTATTTCCATCAAGCAGACGTCTCTGTGCTCTGTTTTCTCAAACATCTCTCATCAGTTTCCGTGTCGCAGATTTGGAGACTTTAAATGGAAGTTTCAGGTTGAAAACTATTTTTCGGCGACCTATTTCCGTATATTTTATATAAAATGAAATCATGTCATATAAGAAGAACTGCTTCCCAGTCAAAATTTCTTTGTTTAAAAGCATTTTTTAAAATTCAATTCTAAATAGTCAGAGAGATCGAACGATCAACCGTTTAAACATTATCAAGTGTGTTAATTGGGCAATTAACATGTCCGGTCAGAATCAACGACAGATCATCCTCCCTGATCATAATCGCCGAAAAGGTCCTCGTCAAAGATATTTATTCTTCAGACTAAATTCGCCTGACATTTCTACTTTCGTTGTATAACCGTCGAATGTTAAAGATCGTCAGCAATAGTATGAACCGTTAACAAATGTTTGATGACTATGATAATAATGAAAACAACACGGTATAAATTTAATGCGTCCGAAGCGCTTTTCTGGATTTACCTTCATCAGGAACGCTCAATGCCAAATATTTGAAGGCCAAGGATGTATAAAACCGAAACAGTTGAAGAGCTGTATAATCAAAAATGACCTAAAATAATAGCCAAATCCTTCTAAGGCCAACTTTTCATGAGGGAGTTAAACCTTAGTTTCTTTATAGTGATAACTGATTTCCTCATATCATGAATATGAAAATATCATGACCTATCCAATTTGAATGGGGTTTATGGAATGGAGCTGAATAATATGATACTTGTATCAAACACAAGAAAAAAGGCCAGTTTACTTTGTATAGTAGTATTTCACAATAACTCCTGTCACCAAACCCCTTTGTAGCTAAATGTAGCACAATAGACTGAGGTTATCCTAATCGTCTATTAGAAGTATATGTACAAAACCAAATGGTATGAGATCGTATAGGACGAGTTTCACCTAGTGACCTAAGGTTATTCCCCAAATAGAAAAGGATTACAAATCAATTATAAAACAAGACAAAGGAGGATGACCTTGAGTCATTGCGTTATTCATTAATATGCAAGGAGGATTAATTAATATACTTATCCAATGATGATTGGGTTCTAATTAATATAGACAAAAGGGAAGGTCATCGAGTAATTGTTTTCTACATTAGTATACAAGAGTAGACGACAGAGACGACCCTAGGTCAATGTTTTATACTCATTCTATAGAACTATACAACAAATGGAAATGACCTCAGGTCATTATTTAATACAAGTCCTGTCCATTGAAAAAAAGAGATGACGTCTGGTCAGTGTGCTCTACCTTGGGTCATTGTTTTTGCCAAGGATGTTCAAACATGTTCTGTTCTATGATATATATGCCTGATGTTTCTAATTAGAGATTTCTAATTTTCTACTTAAATGTTTTCAGTTTTTTTTTCAATCCCACATCTAACCCAGATCCTAAAGCATGTTATGCTCATAGGTGACACTTACTTTTAGATTCCGGGTTACACTAAAGACCTGAAAGTGGACCTGAAAAGACCTGAATAGACCTGAAGATATACGACTCAAATTATTCAAATTGCAATAACTTTTTTATTATTCAATGGAATTTCCTCAAGTTAGAATTTTATTAAATGTCAATATCCATATTTCATTAAAAAAAAAACAATTTTTTGATGCCAAAAGTTGGACCTGAACGGGGAAATGAAAAGACCTGAACGGACCTGAAAATCTATGGTCGGACTTATTCTAACTTCAATAACGTTTTTAATATTCGATGGATATTTTTCAACCTTAGATTTTATGAAACTAAAAGTTCAATATAATGATAATATTAAAAAAATATATATGAAAAATATCGTTGGGGTGTCAAAACTCGGACCTGAACGGAAAATTAAATAACCTGAATTGACCTGAAAATCTGTGGTCAGATTTATTCAAGTTCTTTAACTGTTTTCAATCAATCTCCTTGAAATATGAATTTTGTTATAGGAAAGGTATAATATATCATTGAAATGATAAAAAATTTTATCGAAAAAATAATGGTTGAGTTACAAAAATCGGACCTTGTCGGGGAAATAAAAGGCCTGAAAGGACAAGACCTGAATTGATCATACGGGTAGATGTATTCAAACTGATACAACATTATTTTTCTATTTGTTTTTATTTTAAATAAAATTATATTGAAAAGAACGAATGACTTTATATTTATACAGGAACATATTCGAATACCAAATACCTTGTTGATGATGAAACCTGGACCTTAAGAGAAAAAAAGAAGATTGCCCGTTGAAATTATTCAAACTAATTCAACTTGCTTAAACTGTATTAATATAAACATGTCTTAAACTGTTTTATTTATACATTGAAAATAATAGTATTGTTTGCCAATAAACCGTATGTAATTTAAAGACGCGCGCAAATAGAAAAATAATGTTGTATCAGTTTGAATACATCTACCCGTATGATCAATTCAGGTCTTGTCCTTTCAGGCCTTTTATTTCCCCGACAATTTTTAATGAAATATGGATATTAACATTTAATAAAATTCTAACTTGAGGAAATTCCATTGAATAATAAAAAAGTTATTGCAATTTGAATAATTTGAGTCGTATATCTTCAGGTCTATTCAGGTCTTTTCAGGTCCACTTTCAGGTCTTTAGTGTAACCCTTAGATTCCTAATTCAAGGGTAGTAATTATGATAATTATATTTTTTTCAAATGGTTCATACCAGTCTATGGCTGACTCAAACCACATTTCAAATAACACTGAGGCGCATAGTAATGTGCGAATGTGCATTTATAAAGATATGTACTAAACCTGATGAAATAATCAATGAAATAAGGAGAAATTGGATGCAATCTTTTTTTTAAATATATAAACAGACAAATTATAAACAAATGAATCATGAAAAGTCGTGCTCATTGCAAAGTTATTAACAGTAATATCGGAATAAGAAAAAGGAATGAAAAGCGAAAAGGTAAAACGTAGAACCGAACTTAAAATTGCAATCAATTTACTTCCAACATTAACTACACTTCGTGTAAACATTACTAATACCAACGTA